ATATTTAGCTGACCCGAGCCCTCACCGTAAAACCCTCGGGCCGGGCCTACCCGGACCGGTCCCTGGACGGGCCACCGGTTCGGGCCGGTTCCAAACAGTATCGGGCCGGGTCCGGTTCCGGGTCGGGTCACCTGGCCCGAGTCCAAGCCTATGTTAGACCTTGTTTGGTAGTCAAATGCAACATATTATGTCGATATAACTACATAAGTGTATTTTGCCTAACTTATTTGGCCGAGTGATTGTAACTTTTATTATGACTGCATAAATCAGCTCACTATCTTTGTTGATTGTTGTTATGAATAGTTTTGCAGTCTTTTGAATTGCATAAATATTTTCATTGTACCAATGATATCGGCCAACTTAAATGTGTTTCTGATTCTTATAATTCAAAATTTATGAGGTGAAAACATGACTTAGGGTTTAGGGTTTGAGGTCAAAATTTATGTTGCATAAAATATAGGTAGATTCTATGGTACCCCAAATGTACCATACCTTTGTCCAAATGGACCAATAAGAATGATGCAGTTGAATTATTTAAATCTAAATTAAAAAAATATATAATGATTTGGACCAATCAAATGCATGGTAGGTACGGTACCCCATTTTTTAAATGGGTACCGGAGTTGTCACCTAAAATATATTGGACATTATTCTAATCGCGCACGTATAAAGTTTGTCTAATTTACGGAATTTTCGAAGTTTGATCGAGCTGATATTTCTAAAAAGGTATGTATTTATAAGCCCATATCGTACGGTCCAAAATATTTCTCATTTTCGGTTTAGAATGGGCTTCTCGATCATATGTAGAAATCGTATGTATGAATATTGATTTTATTCGATCGTGCTGTACAATTACATGCGTAATGAATATATACACTTGGGAACTAAAGTGCCTAACCACCTGATAAGAATTACAGTTGTATATGCGCTCCATACGGCTGATAAGACTAAGGAGATAAATACGGATTACAACATAAATAAAATAAAGACTCCTACATGATGTGTGTGTGAGACGTTGCATGCATGCGTAGGTAGTATGAGACGGAAAAATATTGTACAAAAATATAGGACCGAACACCCCCCCTCAAGATGGAGCATGGGGATCTCGAATGCCCATCTTGGAAAGAAGATAGTTGAATTGATGCGCTCCAAGAGCCTTTGTAAAAATATCAGCTAATTGCTCAGTGGTGGACCGATGAACAGGATTAATGGTGCCAACTTGAACATGATCCCGCAAGAAATGACAATCTATTTCGATATGCTTGGTCCGCTCATGAAAAACAGGATTGGAGGCAATATGTAAAGCGGCCTGATTGTCACAAAGAACTGGGATTGGTCGAGCCTGTGTAACACCTAAAGAAGAAAGTAAGCTTTTAAGCCAAATGAGTTCACAAGTGAGAGATGCCATGGAGCGGTACTCAGCTTCGGCTGAAGATCTAGAGACAGTAATTTGTTTCTTTGTACGCCACGAGATAGGTGACTCACCCAACAGGACAAAGTATCCAGAGGTGGATCGTCGCGTGATAGGACAACTGGCCCAGTCTGAATCACAATAGCCCACTAAGGAAAGCGAGGAGTCACTTCGGAGGAGAATGCCTTGCCCAGGGTGACCTTTGAGATATCTTAATACACGTACAACAGCTTCCCAGTGTGAGACACGAGGCTCCTGCATAAACTGTGAAAGGATGTGAACAGAATAGCTGATATCGGGCCGCGTAAGTGTTAAATAAACAAGCTTTCCAACAAGCCTGCGGTATCGTTCAGGATCAGAAAAAAGAGGCCCTGTGTCTCGTTGCAATTGATGATTTTGTACTATAGGAAAGGTGACCGGTTTTGCTCCACTTAAACCGGTTTCACTCAAGATATCCAATACATACTTGCGTTGGCACAAAAAAATACCACTTGAATTCCTTGCCACTTTAATTCCCAGAAAATATTTCATAGAGCCCAAATCCTTGATGGGAAAGAAAGTAGCCAAAAATTGTTTAAAATGAACAATCATTTCATGACAATCCCCTGTAATGAGAAGATCATCCACATAAACCAAAACACACAGAATTTTATTAGCCCGACGCAAAGTAAAAAGAGAGTAGTCAGCATAAGACTGACGAAAACCATAAGACCGTAGAGCATCTGTTAGTTTAGAGAACCAACAACGAGGTGCCTGACGTAGCCCATACAATGATCTAAGCAATTTACACACATGACCTGGAGAGGCTGAATAGCCAGGTGGTGGATGCATGTATACTTCTTCATCAAGATCGCCATGCAAAAATGCATTATCCACATACATTTGGTGCAGCTCCCAGTTTTGACATGCTGCAACCGCCATAATAGTTCGAACAGTGACCATCTTTGCCACTGGTGCGAATGTCTCATGATAATCAATACCCTGCACTTGTCTATTACCACAAACCACTAGACGAGCCTTATATCGTTCTATAGTGCCATCACTTTTGTATTTAATTTTAAATACCCACTTACAAAATATAGGCTTTTTCCCGGGCGGCAGTTTTTGTATTTTCCACGTTCCATTATGCTCCAAAGCGTCAATTTCCCGCTGCATCGCCTCTCGCCAGCGTGGATCACGAACTGCTTCATGATAATTGGCAGGTTCCTTGGCAGTAGAAATAGCTGCAAGAAAAGCACGATACGGAACCGAAAAATGATTATAAGTTACATAATCAGATAAGGGATAAGGCTTACCGGAGGAGGCCAAAGGAAATAGCAGATCGACGGCCGGAGTATTTGTTTTCACGGTATGCAGCTGAACTTCATAATCTGAATGCCAGAAAGGTTTCTGTCGTGTGCGTTCTCCTCTGCGTGCCACGTGAGTCGAAACATTTTTTTCATGCTGATCTTCCTCCGTTGCAGAAGTGGAATTGTGTGAGTCAAACTCATCACGTTGGTCCACTATACTTTCCTTTGGAATGGAATTGCTATCCTCATGTGTGACACGTGTAATTCCATCGTGAATATTTTCCCTAAACGGTGCTTCATGATGAATAGCCCTGGTAGCATTTGAATCCCACGTATGATATTCTTCCTTATCATCAGCAGGTGGTCCAACACGTGTCAAGGATTCATTCAAGGCTTCTTCATTTGATGCGTCGTTCTCCTTATAAGGAAATTTTGTTTCCACAAAATGTACGTCTCGGGATACAAAATGTTTATCGTTATCCAAATCAAACATTTTCCAACCCTTTTGTGAATGAGCATACCCAAGAAAAACACACTTTACACTTCTTGGACTAAATTTGTCACGTACATTTGGCGCATGTGCATAAGATAAGCACCCAAAAACCCGCAAATGATCATATTGCGGTGCTTTCTTATACAACATCTCATAGGGACTCTTGTGAGCCAGTAACGGAGTGGGCAATCGATTAATTAAATATCCAGCCGCCAAAATACACTCACCCCAGAAGTCAAGTGGTAAATTTGCATGAAAACGTAGGGTTCGTGCCATTTCTAAAATGTGTCGGTGCTTTCTTCCCACCCTTCCATTTTGTTGTGGAGTGTACACACAAGAAATTTGATGGATTATACCATTATCAAGAAAGTGATTTTTCAAACTTAAAAATTCCGTTCCATTGTCACTCCGTACCACCTTCACATTTTTATCAAATTGACGTTTGGTCATGGCACAAAATTGTTTTAGAATATTTCTCACCTCATCTTTTGATTTCATCAAATGCACCCAAACCGCCCGTGAAAAATCGTCAACCACAGTCAAAAAATAATGAGAACCACAAGAAGAAGGTATCCGGTAGGGACCCCACACATCACAATGAATCAACTCAAAAGGTTCCACTGCTCTAACATTATTAAGTTGAAACACTTCTCGAGTCTGTTTTCCTCTCAAACATGCATCACATACTTTATTCAAATTTTCAACAGTTCCAAATTTATTAGAACTAAATATAGAACGCATCACTTTCAAAGATGGGTGTCCTAACCGAGAGTGCCACAAATCACTTGATTCATGCTTCGTTATTTGGTGCGCAGCTACTGTATCCAAACCGTGAAAATAATACACTCCTCCGTATCGTCTACCCGCTCCAATCAGCGTCCTCGTAGGCAGGTCCTGTATCACACATAACTGATTAGTAAAATATACATCGCATTTCTGATCGTCAATTAAACGTGCTATCGATATAAGGTTACACTTTAGTCCAGGCACCAATAAGACTTTCTTAAGGATAATGTGTGAACTTAATCTCACATCACCCATACTGGTTGCATGAGTAATATCTCCATTCGGCAGAATTACCGCCATAGGTGGTAAGTTTTCTTTATGCACCAATAATTGTGCACAACTTGTCATGTGATACGATGCGCCAGAATCCAGAAGCCATTGGATACGAGAAACTTTACCCGTCAATTTTTCAGTAGAATCAGTCATCTTACTTTTCTCCATGAAGTGGATGAGACCTCGCCACTTTTCTTCTGTGAAGCCGGGTATCCGACTTCGTTCAGCATGGCTATTGCCAACTTCGTTCGTCATGGTTTTGTAGTGTATTCCGTAGGTATACACTGGTTCAGATTTTCGTTTTTCAAAGGTCCAGGAGCCGGGTAGCCTGCTCTGATACCATGTAGAAATCGTATGTATGAATATTGATTTTATTCGATCGTGTTGTACAATTACATGCGTAATGAATATATACACTTGGGAACTAAAGTGCCTAACAACCTGATAAGAATTACAGTTGTATACGCGCTCCATACGGCTGATAAGACTAAGGAGATAAATACGGATTACAACATAAATAAAATAAAGACTCCTACATGATGTGTGTGTGAGACGTTGCATGCATGCGTAGGTAGTATGAGACGGAAAAATATTGTACAAAAATATAGGACCGAACATCATATGATCTTTTCTCTATATATATTTATGTTAGGTATGTATATATGTTAGGTACGTACGTACGTATGAATGTATGTATATAGATTATGTGATGTAATGGATAGAATAATCATATCTAACGTAAGAGAGCTGGAATTTGGAATGAACAATATAATATGGATGAAAGACATGCGTGCACACGTACAGTTTGCAAAGAATGATTGAAATTAGGAGAAGGCTAATTCGTTTCGCCGGCCTCTCTTAATCAACAAACAATGAAATAAGGTCATAAAAAAGGAGAGGTTAGAGAGAATTTGAGGACATATGTAGTATAATACTATGTATAAATAGTTCAAAAGAATGAATGTGACATTATATTCTAGTGCAACCAAATGGTAGAAAGAGCCACGACGAGGGTGAGATATGACCAGGGTGCAGTCTCGTGCACTCCCCCCACATCCCGATTGATGCATGATGAATCCCTTGGTTCTGGTCTTAGCTTCTCATAATTTCGTGCCATGAAAAGTTCACTATTCTTCCATTTGTGGCTATAATGCAAAATCTTCTCTGACAGCTCCAAGAAATGAAGCAAACAGGCCTGAAGTGTTGCGACAACCATGCTGATAAAGAAGAAAAAGCTGCTCACCATTACCAGCTTCTTCCTTGACACAAAGTCGGCACCAGCTTCAAATTTGTCACCCGCTATAGCCGGAAAGGGGACCAAGTTCCGATAGATTCGAACCGTGGTAGAGGGAATAACTTGGTGATACAATGTTGTGGCTGCTTGTCTTGTCGCCACAAACATCCCATGCTTCACCTCTACTTTCTCGAAAACCTCTAATGTGGGAGAATCACAAAACCCACCCCCGGGATTACCATCTTCGAAGAAATGGTTTGCCATACTATGGTGGCTGCTATTGTCCAATCCCAGCGCCACCGACGACAAGTCATTCATTTCAGCTGTATAGTATCCCTTGCTACTCCTTCCTGCAACATAATACAGTCAAAGTTGTGCGTTGAGCAATGTGAAAGTCCAATTGTTGCAATTACAAAAGAACGGGGTAGTATATAACAAGACACCAACATACGTAACTTTAGGGCGTAATAGCATTTTAGAATTTCTTAGGTTATAATGTGTGTGTATAAATATACCATGCACTTCATGTCCCGATCTATTAAAGCTTGAGACATTTTCTATTGGAACTTCCCTGTACTCCTCCATATGTGTCTGTTGAAGCACATAAAGGAAACCTACGTCAGATATCCCATTATTTATTGTACATTTTATTTTATATACTACAAAATATCACGTTTGTGTGTACTCCATCCGTCCCTTTTTAGTTAGCCAAACTTAACTTTTCAAGTCAGTGGTGTCTAACTTTGACCAATTATATATTTATATACAGAAGTATTGATAATATAAAAATATTTTTTTTCAAAAATACTATCATAAAAGTATAAAACTATTAAATTTTGCATAAATGTATTAGTTACTACGTATAAATTATGTACCTTCTCAAGGTCTTTGTCGGACATTCCAACCCATCTCAAGTTCTCCATCACTATTGTGTCTGGTTTCAAACCCTCATCATCAGCATAGATGTCCCCAAGCTGATGATGAACATTCATACAATTTTGGTGCTTATCTTCGCCTTCTCCTCTGGGTTGTTGGTCCAAGAACCGGAAGCTACCCAAATCTTGGATCTGGCTAGAGCTGTGAGGGAGGAAAGAAAATGCATCTTTAGCATCGATGGGGGGCTCATGATCATGATATGGTCCACTCCAAGGGTTGTCGTCTAGTTCATTCATCAGATTTTGGGACACTTGAGCGACAGAGAGGATTTCCTGAACAATGTCAGTTGGTTGGTGTAATTGGTTGGTGATGAAGGTGGATTGGGGCAAATCCTGAACCTCCAGCTGCGGTAACGTGAACCGGTGCTGCAACCTAGCACACTCCAATGCTATGTCAACCTGCATTCGATCATATGTGCACAATCAATCTAATCTCATTTACAAAATACTCAAGCATTCACCATCCAGTTACTACCATGAAATAGGGTTTTCACGTTCGTTATTTATAATCTTTAACGTTTGTTTATAAGTGATATGGAATGTAGAGACGTAATAAGTAATGACATATTACATTGGTTTTCAATCAAAAGTAAATAAGTTTCTTTTAAATAAAATAAAGTTAAATTTATAAAGCTATACTATACTCCCTCCGTTCTTTTTTAATAGTCCCGCTAGCCTTGAGCACGAGTTTTAATAATAAAGTAGTAGGGTAAGTATAGAATGTGTAGGGTAAATGATAAAATAGGAAGATGTATATTAAAATGAGTAAAATGATGATAAAGTAGGAAAGAGAGTGTATTAAGAATAGTAAAGTGATGATAAAGTAGAAAAGAGAAAGTAGTTTGTAAAAAGTAAGTGGGGTATTTTATCAAAAACTTTCATTAAATGGAAAGGATGATAAATAAAAAAATAGACCAAAATGGAATAAGAGACTTATTAAAGAAGGGAGGGAGTATATAGACTGGACAAATAAAAACTTAAACACTCTTCTTAGTCCAAAGTAAACGTATCATTTACTTTTGGCGTGTACTTTTGACCGTTATTCAAACGAAAAAAGACAATATGTATAGCCTTAATAAGTCTAGTATATTACATTATGTTGTCAATCAAAAATTAATACGTAGTGCATGTATTGCGGGCGTTACATAAATTTTATTAGTGTATAAAGCTAGAGTTCTCTACTAGTAAAGTTCGGCTCAAGTATATGAAGTTAATAAGTGACTATATACAGATTTATGTGGTCTAAATATTCCAGGAACAAATTTCTTAGAACATAACCACATTATTTTTTAGGGTTCTCTGCCACTTATTATTTAATTGGTCCAAGTCGTTTTTCATCTTTAATTTATAGGAAAAATTGAAAATAATAATCCCAACTATTGCCGGTCCGCTGAAAATAATCCCAACTATTGATTATTTTTGTATAATCCCAACTATATAGACTATCCGCCAATAATGGTCCATGACCATATATTACCTCTATAAAAAGTGAATTTTAAATAGAAATTAAGCGTAAAAATTAAAAGTTGAGATTATTTAGAGGGATTACTTGTTATATCTCACCTCATCCACTTTAGAAACTACAAGAATTTATTCATAGGAACCATTATTGGTGGAAGGTCCCTAAAGTTGGGATTATTCTGTAATAATCAATAGTTGGGATTATTATGAGCGGACCGCCAATAGTTGAGATCATTACTATCAATTTTTCCTAATTTATATTTATATAAATCGATTGCAATATTCTAATTGGTCTACTTAAAAAATATATGGTTCTTTGAGGGTACAATACAATTTACCATGCATGTATATTTTTACCTTAGAAGGAGGATAAGGTATAGGTGCATAATTTGAAAGCGATGATGATGGGGGGTTAGAGTTGAAAGTAAATGCTTCATCCGATAGGTACTGCATCCATTTATCATCACTATTATTATTGTTGTTATTGTTGCTTGAGCCTGCAGCAACTTGAAATGAATACCCATGGACTGTTGCCGCCATGGATGAGCCAGAAACTGTGGCTGAAGGCTGCGCCCCCACCATTGCATAGTTACAACTCTCCATCTCCTCGCTCTTTCCCTCCGAGTATATATCTATGCTAGAGGACCCATCTCTCGCCGGCGTCGCCGCACTGACGTAGTGTTCCGCCACTTTCGGGGCCGTGATGATCATACTCTTCTTGAATACCCGACATAGTGCATATGCATCCTATACCAAATATACCAAAAGTTATAAGAATAAACTCCTTAAATAGGATTAAGACATTGACAAAGTGCACAAATAGGCAAATAGGATCATCATCATTGTTCCCTTTCTAAAATAAGACTCATATGGACTCCGAATAGATGCAATTTTATTCTTTTAATAGGATCAAATAGTTTCCGTTTAGGGAATTATTGACATATAATCTTATCTATGCACTTTGATTAACTTTTAGTCCTATTTAGAGCAACTAATAAAGTTATAATTATTTAGGTCAGCTTGATATATATCTAATACAATACCTTAATTAGATTTTAGTTCAAATGGAAGTATTTAAAAATTAATAATAAAAATAATATGGATGTAAGAAGATACCTAAAATGGGAATCATATATGAAACATGATGTGAATGTATCAAGCTAAGTATCAAATGATGAGTTTGTAGTAAATACTTCGTAGATCGTAATGCACTCTAGCAACATCCAATATAATTAGACCACTTAAATATTTAAAAAAACGTTATACACACTATTTTAACAATGTTCACATTACACATTCTATTTTGACTATATCTATTTTATTAGTGTATTAGTAAATTAAAGCATGCATGAGATTTTTTCTAAAGTATTACTAAGAGAAAATTTATGCCAAAAATGTAATCAAAGTGACCAAAAATTATTAAATCACTATTTTATCTACTAATCTTATTTTGATCATATATTAAGAATTATTTCAAAAAATATACAGAGTCTTATGAAAAATACTACAGAGTATAAAACTCGTCTTATTTTGGTCAAACTACTCCGTACCTGCAAACCAGTTGGAATTTCACATTCTCTTTCATCAAGGCGATACTCATGCATGACCCAATCAGTGCGAGCTCCATGAGGGGCTCTCCCTCTATAATAGACTAGGGTTTTCTTCATCCCTACTGACCTCCTCTGTGAACTTACTTTCCTATCCTTTCCCGTCGCCTTCCAGTATCCTGCTTTGGTCGCCCGGTTAGTCCTGGATCCATTGGGGTACTTCCGGTCTCGTGGGCTAAAGAAATACCATTCCATATCTTTGCTGGGCAACAATGACTTTCCTGCAAATTAAAGGAAAAACATTGTAGTCTATGTAATTTTTTCATATGGATCAATAAGAATATTACAATTAAATAATTGAAATATTAGCAAATGATAAGATAATGATTTGAATCAATCAAATGAATGAACTCATGTATATATAAATGGCACAATACCTTGTTTCTTTAAGAGTATAGTAGCATTCACCGTATTTAATCTAAATCAAAGTTAAAGTGTAACTCGCTTGTTTTTTTTATAGGATTGAATCATAAAACTTGGTAGCCATCTACAAATTGGTCTTTGAAAATTGATGGAGCTAGGCATTAAATGATTTAAAATTTCACTTGGAGTATAAAGCGAAAATATAGCAATTATTATCTAGGCCATGGTAGTACAAAAGAACATAGTATCCCCCTACTTAAAGGTTATTTTTGTCATTTTATTAGGTATTATTCCTCCACCTTTAACTCTTCTAAAAATCCTAACTGGATTTCATTCTTAAATATGAAAAAGCCTTAAAGCCCGTTTGGTAGCACGAAAATCGACTGTTTTGGCTGATTCTGCTGAAATTAATGAAGTTCAGGCTGAAGTGGCTGCATTGGTTGATTCTGTTGATTTAAGAAAAAATATTTTTACAATATGTTTTATTAATAAAATAAAGAAAAAATAATATGTATAAATAGTTAAAATGATCATCTACAGTAACTGCAGCCAATACAGCCAGAAAAGTAACTCCAACATTACTTTTTCTGCTTATCCAACAAAAGTTACGTGTTTAGTGAAAAGTTGGCTAATAAGCATAAGTCGAAAAATAGTGTTGCCAAACGGCCTCTTAATTTACGCGAAAGTATACGGTCGTCTCGAAGTTGAGTCAGCTGATGATACAAGCCCTTTTATAGGAGGTTCCGTCTGGCCATCGTAATTTGGGGAGGTTCCTGGTGGAATTTCTTGATGAAAATTCTTGAGCATCTTATTCATTAAGTCTAGTTTAGTCATACTGAATTTCAGCTAAAAATTCAATCGGGAAGACAGTCAATTGAATTTTTGAAGATAACTGTGCAGTTAAACAACACAGTATATTTTCGAAAATCATTTGAGTGCCTTCCCGGTTTAATTTTTAGCTGAAATTTGGTATGGCTAAACTAGACTTGATGAAGAAGATGCTCAAAAAAATTCATCAAAAAATTCCACCGAGAACCTCCCCAAATGACGATGATCAGTCAGAACCTCCTACAAAAGGGCTTATTTGCACTTTTTTGATTAGTTCGAGGGCTTATTTGCCCCTTTTCCCATGATACAATTATGTCTTTCTTATTACTTTTTGACTTGGAGTATCTTTTTTTAGGCTTCAAATAGGAGATTAAAAGATTGTAGGGACCATCTTGCAAACTTTATTTTTAGAGACATAAAGACCATGTTCGACTCTTTAGCTTCCTTTTCTTTTTCCTTATCTTTTTTTTATAATATAATTTTTTTTTGCGGGTGACTAGATCACGGCATATGATTTTTGACTGGTTAAAGCGCATTCAAAGATTATGATTTCCGTACTCATCAGAATACCACACGTTAACCACGCGTTGCTAATTTATTGAAAAATTAAACAAAATTGACCAAATTGATCCCAAATACCTACTCTAAATTATACTCCTTTCGTCCCTCTAATTTTGTCTCGTTTTACCTTTTTCGTCCGTCCCATTAAGTTTGTCTCATACCATATTTGGTAATATTTGGATTATTACAATTTATTCTTACTTTATTCTCACTTTGTCAATTCGATAACAACCACACAATTCCACTTTTTATTAAAAGTTGTGTCACATCCCTTTGTCCCAAACATAGTGGGAAAGAGGTAGTATATATTGTGTGGGCCAAACAATGAGAAAAAGCTCGATCTCTAGCTAATAATCCAATATTAATAAATTGAGTCAACATCTTAACAAATCATAGCTCTTAATCTTATAGGTCGATTATAGCTTTATATTTATCTTATCTCCGAGAAACATTTCAACACTTTAATTGTATATTATTGAATTTTACACTGAAGGCACCTTTGAAAAATCCATCTAAATTAACGAAATTGTCTTCAATAATTAAATACTTCGTGAGTTCGTGACAACTTTTAATGGGAAAATGTATAAACCTGCCCTAACATTTGCATTAAGATGACACATCCTTCTAAAGCATTTTTAATGCAAATAAATATGCCCTTTTTTCTGTAAATATATTGAAGAAAATTGTTTGCCCGAGTCAATTTTACATATACTACGTATATACATGCTCACTTCGTACGTTCACTAAACCTTGGCAAGCTAAACTTCCTATATGTATAGGTATACTAAGAAAGTGGTGGTTTGCCGGGTTAAAAAAAATGTGTAATAAGAAAGTTAAAATTATGTGATTTAGTTTTTTAATTAACGGAGAGAAATAATATATAAAAAATCACAAATTACATATTTTGAGAGATTAATATAGTTCTTGAGAAACAAAACTTGGAAATTTAGATAAAATTCAGTGAGGAAAAAGCTAGTTATGTACAACGTATATAATTATATTTGCACACATACGTATACACACATACTGACATACTTCTTACATAAGAGATGCATTTAACACAAGCATTATTGTACATACAAGAAAGTTTCCCATAAAAATCATCATATTTAGCAAGCTAAAAGTCTGCGTTTTTGACAAATTGCGTGACAAAGTGATTGTTTTAGTGAATTAGTGAGATATGTCTCTGATCTTTTTGAGACATTATTTAAATAAAAACTAATTTGGTTGATTTGGTTCGAAGATAGTTTTTCTAGACAAAGAATTTGATAAGACGAACATTTTTTTAAAAGTGTTCTTAAATAGAATTCAAACAAAAATAAAATTTATAAATAGAATAATGACAATAGAATTATCATTATTTTATTCACAAAATAGGACTCATTCTTTTGTGATTCACTGTTGTGAAAGTGGTATTTATGTGAGTTGAACAAAAATGTTCTTCAATTAAGATGTTTTTTACGTAGCCACCAATCTCATCCGACTCATATACTTCGTACTTCGTATGTATGCATGATAATTAGAAAAGTACTTAGTAGATTATTGTTTAATTTCATTCGTTAATTGTTGTTTTAGAACGCTACTTTAATTTCATAAATAAGTATTTTTTTGCAACAAAAAAAATCGGTATATGAATTTCTTCTTTTATCAAATATATGTGGAGGGGAATCCTGCTGGCGTACAACTGTAAAATAATATTTAAAAAATCTTACTAGTATTAGATAAAGAAATTAAATTAGGTAAGATGCACAAATTAAAGTCGTACAAGCTAAGAGTACGTATATCTTATACCTTTCTTGGAAGCCACTCCGAATTAATAATATCTTTGGTAATAGGTCTCTATCCGATACTCTAAGAGTAATTTCATGCAGCCCTTGATTTAAATTCTAAACAAACAGTGCTATATGTATAATTAATTATAATCTTACCACTTTAAAAAAAAAATACAATCTTGGAGTATTAATTAACGGTTCTAAAAAATGTCATTAGGAGATGCTCTCGATCATCTATCTTCTTCATTCATAGAAGTATAATATACCCCGGTTCAATAAAACATCATTAAAAGCATCCAATTAATTAAGTGATGACTATCAAAACAAGTATAGTTAATACCTGGTAAATCCCAAGGTTCACATTTGTAGAGATCAACTTCAGGGATAATCTCGAGGTCAATCTTACGGCCATTGATCTTGCGCTTCAAGTAGTAAGCCACGAGCTCTTCGTCCGTTGGATGAAACCGGAAACCAGGTGGCAATGAAACAGGAGCCATTGACATATATTTATACCAGTTAATTAAAACACAACACTAGCTGTAATTAATAATATAAATCAATCTTATAATATATGGAAATCTAATATAAGGAGTTATCTAGCTAGGGTTATAAATGTTGCAAATAGAATACTGAAGGTGATAGGGACAGGAAGAGAAGTTTGAGAGTGGAGATAGCTAAGAAAAATTTGATGAAGAGGAAGAGAGGGAGAAGAAGGAGATGGAGAAGGAGGGTGGTGGTGTATAAATAGTAGGATCGGAGGGGTGATTACAATAAGTTGGGAGGCCGGTTCGATGAGAGGACATCCTAAAAGAAAAGCTAGAAGCCAAAAAGCAAATAATTAATGAGGTAAGGTTTATAACCCCCCGCCACTTTAGACACTACTTTATCTTTTTATTAGATTTTGTGAATTCCTATCAAAGTTTTGCTTTATTGGTCGTACTTCTCAAGCTCTCTAATCATTCTCTCTCTCCAAATTAAATAAATACTCGTATTTGTGTGTATACACCTATAAAATTAGATTCAAAAATAATCTTATGAGAACCGTTAGATTGTGCTATGTGAAATTAAATGTACATTAAGTGAAACTGGAATGTGCATGAGGTGAATTGAAATGTGGAACAAAAAGGATAAGTTACAGTAGCATTATGTGAAGTTGACTTGTGCATTAGAGGAAATGAAATGTGCATTAGATGAAATCGAAATTTGAAAACTAAAAGGCACGATGATGTGATGCATTTTTGTACCTTTTATTATACACATTTCAAAATCAACTAATAAACATTTGAATTTTACATTTTATTCTGCGCATTTCAATTTCACCACATGCACAATTCAATTTCATCTAGATTCATTCTCATTTCTCTCCGGAGAGATCTTTCTTACCGGAACCGCTCCCCATACATATAAACACATATGTGTGTATTACGTATTTGTGTATGCATGCATATGTGCTAATATAAATTAAGAACTTTTCTAGGCTAAAAAATCAATTTGATAGATTAAAAAAACAGAGGAATAATATGAAAATTTAAGATGAAATTAGTCGATTAGGATGACATTTTGATAAATAAGTTAAATTTGAGTGCAAGAACTACATCATACATTTTATACTGGCATACAATTGTGTGTCTACAAAGTGCATTATATTTTTATAAATGTAAATGAATCAAAAGAGCACTACTACATTTTTAGACCTAACGTAACACTAAATATGTAACATATCTATAAAAGTGTTACATATTTCTCTAATGTAACACTTTTTGGACCTAGTGTTACACTTTCTAGTAGTAAAAATGTTACATTAGGGACTATAAACTATTACAATAGGCCTAATGCAACATGAGCAAATGTAATGGTAAAAAAGTGTTACATTTATTCTATCGTAACACTTTATAGTGCTATTGTAACACTTTTGGGTGATACTTAGGTGTTGAAATGTTGGAGTGAGCCCTGTGTTATTTCGTCGAAAATGAATCACAGTACACTCTTGTTTTTCACCGATACCTTTTTTGAGGTGCACTTTCTATTTAAGGGAGCTCGTCTCTTAAGAACTCTACCTTTAAGCGTATTTGTATGGAAGTAATCTTAGGATAGGTGACCCGTGTGAAATTTCTCACAATGCATACGTGTGAGGACAAAATGCGTGGTAAGGCTTAGCTTGTGATGATTTATGAGGACGGTACTTGGTGTGAAGCGCATCCAGGAGTAATTGAGAATAAATTGGGTGATAAAAGTTTGTGTTGGTTTGTAAGGACAGTACTGAGTTTAGAATGCATCCAAGAGTATTGACCTCGAACTCTACGAGGTCGGGGTGTTAATTAAGTCAATTCTGCAATAGTGTGCTGATTCGAAGGATATCGGATGAGCACTTAGTAGGGAGAGCATTCTAGAACATGCGATTGAGATCAGTTTACAGGGGCAACGGGGACGTTGTCTTTCATGCCATATTTATCACATATCACATAGTTCACATAATTAAGCACAAATTCAACTTGGTTACATACATATTTTTCTTTTCAATACAAAAAATTACAAGAGATCCTTTCATAACTAATTAACCCCCTTTTCCCCATTTTCTCTCAAACCTTTATTTTCAAGAGATGCACATGAAAGACAATTATAACGTAAATTTCTAGTAAAAAAATCTAAGACCTGCATCACCTGTTCCTAACATGCATAATGTTGCATACTACTTGCATTCAGGGGCGGAGCCAGAAAAATGTGTGAGGGGGGTCGGAATTTAATTATATACAGTATCAAAATGATGGATAGTTATTATTGTACACAATACTTGAGTTAAATGTTTCATATGTATGTAGCTGAGATAAATGGTAGTTTAATGAGCATTTTTCGGTTAATGTATTGAAATATATGTAATGTGTCATAATGTTCACACAACTGATGACGGAATAAGGTGTTTTATTTTTAAATTTAAGAATAGAATCAACGTCACACATCAAATTTTGCTTATTTCAAGTTAAGATAGTGCTGATTTTTTCAGAAGTCATAATTTTTTACTCGTAAAGAGTTACAGGACCCATAATATATCAAAACGAAGGCGTTTCAGAGCTCTACATTCATAAACTTTCAGTGGGGTCGGCTGACCACCCTGACCCCCCCTTGGCTCCGCCCCTGCTTGCATTTCTTTTCAGTACGCATATATAGATACAAAGTCATTCTCAATATTCTTACGATGTTCAAAGACATTTTCAAGAACATTCATAATAAAAGTACAACCACAGTCAACTAGCTAATCAATTTTTCATACAAATTAAATAGTTTAAAGTTAGAACATGCACAATCACCAAGATTACTAAACATAAAAGTATCTGCCGTTTTCACAATAAAGCACATTAACATATTAAGAAATTGTCCTAAATAGGACTAAAACATGGTTAAAATTCCAAAATAGGACTTGAAGTTTATTATTTCCTAAATAGGACCACTGATTACATTTTTGCTCTTCCTTTAATTAAACCCAGGAATACTTCGCCGATCCAACACCCATATGCGCAGACCCATCTGTGAATCTGTGATAAAGAAACCCAGATGCGCAGACCCAATCGCCGACTCCGATGAAGCCAGGTAAATTTCTCGATCTCCTTTCTCTTCTCCTTCTCTTCTTCTTTTCTTCTTTTCTCCTTCTCTTCTCTTCTCCTTCTCTTCTCTTCCACTCTTCTCTTCTCTCTTGTACGACTCTGGTCCGCTGGTTCCTATTTTTTTTCACTTTAACAGTTTCTTACTTTTGGGATTCTACACAAATTATTTTGATTTTGAGATTTTGGAAGAGATTTTGTTAACAATTAGATGAAAAATTTGGTTGCAACGCTCGATCAATTATAGATCTCAATTTTTATTTTTTATTTACCAATTTTGATTAATTATGAATTGAGAATGACATAAAGAAAAGTACTTAATTAGAAAAATGTCACTTTTAATGCATTACATCTATAAAGATGACAATATTGCTTTGAAATTACAAAAATGTCATGTTTTTGCCAGTTTGACAAAAATCTCACTTTTGAATCACAAAATGTCATAGTTATTGGTTATATTTGAAAAAATGTCACTTTTATGTCAATATGTTTTGAAAATGGCAATCTCAAAAATGTCATGTTTTTGCCAGTTTGACATTTGTGTCATATCAAGTGGCATTCTCGACGGAGGTTGTAGGGACTTGCCGAAGAGCGGCGGCTTCGTCGGAGGATGGTGGCGGCGAACTCTGCTAAGGCGGCGGAGGCAGCGGTCCGCTGAAGGACACACTGGTGCGGTACTGGAGGATGGTTGAATTGCGGCATAGACCTGGAGACAGGAGGATGGCTGGGATGCGCAAGTTACGTGCAAATGTTACGACAGTTCAACACTGGAGGCTATTTTTGTCCAAACACAATTATTTAATCCTATTTAGGGAATTTAAAACAATAGGTCCTATTTTTGCATTTACTTTATCTTTTACTCCTATTTTGGTAAATCTCTCCAACATATTTTCTTAGACTTTGCCACTTTGGGAAGATATTTAACGTAGTGACTAGTGAGTGACAAGTTTCATTACAATTGTATAGCGTTTTCAACTTTAGATACTAGTATATACTTAATACTACCTCCGTCCCAAAAAGAGTTGCAAATTTGACTTTTCTTAGTCAAATAATTTTGTTTTGTTCACTTAATTAGGATGTCCATTTCTAATTATATTGTAATTTAGAGTTTACAACTTTGAAGAGATTTTAATGTAGTTTTTGAATATGTAAATTTGAATTATTAAAAATTGAATTAATTATTCATACGAAGAGTTGACTTTTATTATTGATTGACAAAAAATTATTGAAAAAAAAATAAATTGGTACGGAGGGAGTATATTAGATCTACCCTTTATTTCTTGCCAGTTATAGCATTTTTCTTGATTCTACAGTACTAGCACGGTTTTTGCTATTAGGTCTTACCCTGACTTGCACGTACAGGTGTACAAACATCATCCGGATGTACTCCGGCCCCTATATATTGGATATTATTTCATATATTAAACTTGAATTATATTGAATCAAATAGTAAAAAGTAAATTAGTGAACTGCAAAAAATATTAGCGAGTAACTAATTTGATAAACACCGCGGAGATAACTGATTAAATAAATTTGTGGCATTGAAATCGATGGAATAAGAGTTTGCGTATTATATTATACACGTGGAGATAGATGATTAGATGCATGCATGACCGTCCTCCGACGTTAGGATCTCTTGATGTATTGGTATACGTTAACCAACGGAGGAGGGAAATAATAACTGTCATACACACAGTATACTATACGTATTTCGAAACGAATTCGCGGCTTTCTTAGCGCCCAATCCAATCAGCTGCGTTCAATGTTCTTTTCACATTTCTAAATTAATAATTAATTTGATTCTGGATTTTCCCACCCCCAGGGCCGATCCAAGCATTTTTTTGGCCCGAGTCGAATTTTTGTAAAACGCCCTTAAATAATGTAAAATTTGGATATTAAGATTTGTACGCACTAAATTAATTTGTATGCCTACATCAAATAATTAATCCCACATAGTTGCATGATATTATTTTGATTAATATTATTTATATTGTTGTTAACTTAATAAAATAGAAAAAATTGTATATACTCCCTCCGGTTCTAAATAAACTTCTCACTTTCCTTTTTGGGACGGTCCAAAATAAACTTCACACTTCCTTATTTCCTTATTTGGCAAAGAAATCTACACCAAAACAGTGCCAAACAGTGCCAAACA